GGGTGACAGAGCAAGATCCTGTCTCAAAAAAATTTTTTTAAAAGGAAATGACAAGGACCATTGCATGGTGACTGTAGTTTGCTTTTTAAAAATCATTATTCATTTGTTTTTAGATCAGTACGTACTATCCAATATAACTTTCTGCACTGATAGAAATGTTCTATAATCTGCAGTATCATATATGGTAGGCACTAGGCACACATGGCTACTGAGCACTTGCAGTGTGACAGGTGCAAGTGAGGAATGGAATTTTAAATTTTATTTCATTTTAACTGATTTAAATTTAGATAGCCACTGTGGCTTGTGGCTACCATATTGGACAGTGCAGTTTAAAAATTTTCCCCTCTTCTTGGGATGCCGAAGCGGGCAGATCACTTGAGGTCAGGAGTTTGAGACCATCCTGGCCAACATGGAGAAACCCCGTCTCTACTGAAAATATAAAAAATTAACCGGGCATGGTCGTGGGCGCCTGTAATCCTGGTTACTCAGGAGGCTGAGACAGGAGAATTGCGTGAACCTGGGAGGCGGAGGTTGCAGTGAGCCCAAATCATGCCACTGCACTCCACCCCACGTGAAAGACTGAGACACTGTCTTAAATAAACAAATAAATTAAAAATTTCCTGTGTTCAAATGTAACAAGACACATAGGGACATATCTGTATTTTATGCCACTTCATACAATTTAACATGCAAGACTCTAATATCTGATAATTCTTCCCTGTGAGAAACATGTGTGTGTGTTTGTGTGTATAAAAGATTACTTAAAAAGATAGGTTAGTCCTAAGATACAGCTGGATGTCTTGAATTAAATGAAAATATACCCAGATACATCTAGCTTTTGACTTAAGTTTGTTCTGTGTGAAACAGAAATGAATCCGGCATAGAGTAGCACTCACAGCCCATATGTAGCACAGAATACACTCACATTTTATTGCATGTGCAAGAGCCACTGTTGGTCTGCATTCAGATGACCCACATTTTATTTCTAGCAGTTGTTTTTTATTGGCAGATGAATGTCCTAAAATCAGCAAGTTCAGCAGTAACGTATATTTTGATAATTCTGTTCTTGAGTGTCATGGTTTATTTTATTGTCCTACCCCCAGTCTCTGAACACATATGAAAGACAATTAGTGAACCCAGTCATTAACCTTGGAGATGAATAAATTCAAGCTGAGCTTCATTTTGTTAAACTCAGCCTGTGCCATTTGGATGTGTTGGCAGAGCTTGGGGCAGACAGCCATCAGATAGGAAATGAGAGCTGTTAGGTTAGAAACAGGCCCGCCCAAGTCCACTTGCTAATGTGGGTAGGAAATTATACTTGGCATAGGAAACAATTCAGAAAATCATACACTTAGCAGTTTTTATTGGTTCTTTGTGTTTCCATGACTTTTTGAGGAGATACCAAGTTATGAATATATAACCCCCATCAATAGCAACATCTTATATTTTTGTATAGTTTTCAGAGCAAGTTTATACAGTTTAATTTGACTCTCAAAACATTTTGGTGAGTTTGGAGGTATTATTGCCACTTTTTCTAGACTCAGAAGTCGAGGACTTGTCCAAAGGTACGTGGCTCATAAATAGTACAACCAGGAGTGTCGGGGGGAAGATATGAGCCCACTGTATTCTTCCCTAGGCTTGGAGATGGGGACGGAAGTGGGTGTAAAATCTGGCACCCAAGCAAATGAAATTTCCTCAGTCCTTTGGCCCTTGTCACTTGTGTTAGGGGACATGCCCTAGTGGGTCCTACTGCCCTACCTGCAGCACAGCTTAAACCCCACCCTGTGCCCTGAGCTAGTATAATGGGAATTCTGGCTTCACCTTGAAGGATCTATGTGCCAAGTAAGTCACTTGAACATCCTTGACCTTCATTTCATCTCAGATAGGGAGTTGAGTGCAACTTCCAAATCCCCTTTCTTGGCTAATTCTATGACAAAATGTTGCATGGAACCAGAAAGGATTCTTCATTTGAGCAGTGAGAGTGCATGGATAGGATGTATCAACTTTTTTGGCTGTTGTTTTTTCCCCCCAAATATTGTTCAGTTATTCCTATGTACCAGTAGAAGTGATTTCTCTGAACTAAAGCCTAACTAGGAGGTATCTTTCTACTTGATTGGTTTTCAGGGTATGTTGTTTTATATGTTTATCTAACATATGTTGTCTTTTCTGCCAATTCTGAATCTTCTGTCTCCTCTCTTTATTCTAGTGCTCCGTCCCCACCACCTACGCTGTTTTTGTTCAAAAGTCAGAGAAGGGAGTGAGCATGCAAATCAGGAAACAGATTGTCTTTTTGTCTATACAGATTTGTCTATTATTTTGTTTATTTATTAATATTCAGTCAGTATGTTTAGAGTGAAATCTTTCTTTTCTAGTCTATCAGCATAGGGTTTCTCCAATTGTTCCCTTTCCTTGAAAAAAAAAAAAAAGGAAACATTTCACCTGTTAGGGAATTCAGACTTTTTTTTTTTTTTTTTTGAGACAGAGTCTTGCTCTGTTGCCCAGGCTGGAGTGCAGTGGTGCGACCTCGGCTCACTGTAAGCTCCACCTCCTGGGTTCACCCCATTCTCCTGCCTCAGCCTCCCGAGTAGCTGGGACTACAGGCGCCCGCCACCACGCCTGCCTAATTTTTTGTATTTTTAGTAGAGACGGGATTTCACCATGACAGGCAGGATGGTCTCGATCTCCTGACCTTGTGATCCGCCAGCCTCGGCCTCCCAAAGCGCTGGAATTACAGGTGTGAGCCACTGCGCCTGGCCGGGAATTCAAACTTTTATTGCTATAAATCAGCAAAAGTTTGGCCAAGCCTGGGGATGGGTCAGGCATTAAACATTTCCTTGTAATATCATCTCCATAGATCAGTAGAACTCTAGTGGAGTGGATCAGTGTGCTGATTTATTTGGAACTGAGTAAGAGGAACCACAAACAGAGCCCACAGCTCAGAGGGAAAGTTGAGTTGCAGAGCTATCTCATGGAGAAGGTGTATTTCTAAGGGAACCCAACCTGGCGATATTTATGTCAATAATTGGTCCTATTTTGAATAGTGTCTGTGACTCAAGGTAATCGGGACATTCCATACATTTCTAATTTTGAAATTTGCATGATTGTGAAAATTATTTCTCCAACTCTTGGACCTATGAGAATGTTGGAAGGGAACACTTTCATGCTGCTGACCTAAAATCATAGTGAAAACATGGTCTGAAGGAGAAAAGATTTCAAGGCAAGTGTAGAGAGTACGTTCACATTTTTTATGGCACTGCAGGGTGTTTTCTGGGTCTTGAGCCAATATGCATGTCTTAGTCCTCATGACCACCAAGTTCAAGCTCCTGTGCAATTTGCTGATTGTAGATGACTAGTTCCCCTGTAATGAGGAGGCGCTGTGATCCTCCAGCACAGAGGCCAGCACAGATCTGGATCTAGGGAGGTGCTGTGGTCCTTAAAACACAGAGCCAAAAGCCAAACTGCAGCTGAAAATAATTATAGCATTTGGCTAATGTAATCAGGGATACGCAGCTGTGTTCACTGTTCTCTAGTCCTTTCATGTTGCTAGAGGGGAGAAAAGAGTTTTTCCTCTACCCATCGTAGGTTCATGGCCGAGGCCCTGATAACAAAAAAACAGATTAACAAGCAAAAAGCATACAGTTGGGCACAGCAGCAGGTGCCTATAATCTCAGTTACTTGGAAGGTTGAGGTGGGAGGATCCTTTGAGGCCAGGAGTTGGAGACTAGCCTGGGCAACAGTGAGGCACCACCTCCCCACCCTCACACACACACTCCGGCCCCATTTCTAAAAAAGAGAGAGAAAAGCATACAAATTTATTTAAGTATTATGGGAACCTTCATAAGGAAATGAAGACTCAAAGAAACAGGTAAACTCTAGTGTTTCTAAAACAGACCTGATGAAGACTAGAGACTCATGGAGAGTTATAATAGAGCAAAAAGAGTGTGATCTCATGGTAATATAGTAGGGGAACTTAGTAAGGCCTGTTTATTCAGATTCTTCCCTGGGATCCTGTGTCTTCAGAGATAAGAATGCTCGTTTCCTCTGGTTATGGGGGTTGGGGGTACCTCTCACCTGAGGGCCTTTTGACCTGCTTCAGAGAAGGTCAAAAAATCCTTCCTGGGTGTTATGACCTGCTTCGGGGGGTAAGGTCAGAGGAAGGTCAGAGAGAACTTCTTGCACACGCTGTCTCAAATTCCTTCAGCTTCATGCAATGTATACGTGGGGGCTGTTATGGTTAGAGTCATAATAGTCTAGGTCAGGGGCTGACAGACTTTTTGTGTAAGGTTACAGAGTAAATATGTTAGGCTTATGGGCCATATGCAATATGCCAAGATGCCATATTTTGGGGTAGTGTGTCCTGAACTCCCTCATTGCCAAAGGAAACAGTTGTCATCAGAAGAGTGAAGAACGAAAAAAACAAATAAACTGAAAATCCAGATAATATCGTATGCTATGTTATTACATTGAAGAACAAATTGACATCAGTAGGAGTAGGACTAAGTGATGCTCAACCTCAGATGGACTGAGATTTAGGCCCTAGTATGACAAGAGTAGATTCACAGAAAATAAATGGGTCCATCAACTCAGGCTTTCATTTTAAATCAGTTTGTTAATATAACACATCTAGTAGAAAGCAAGCAATAGCTATGGTGGCAGGAAGGCAATCTACTTTCAAGGCTTTCACTCGAGTTTAGAAATGATCAGTGGTCTTCAGAAGATTATAAATTTCAGTCTAAGTTGAAATGCGTTTTAACATTTTCTGAATAAGTAACTTCCAGTTTATGATGAAAACAAGTGATCAGTTTCTCTGACCAAAGAAAGAGGCCATTGCATGTGATTGGACTGACCTCTTCCTGTGGTGATTGGAAAGTGCTAAAAGAATGTTCCTTAGTATTTTCTCTCATACTAAGGGGTTAATATGGAATGTGTTTGAAATTGCAAATTGAATAATTGTCCCAGTTTTTTTTCATACCTTGCTTGCTAAATTAGTTCTTCTTTTAATCTAGTGATAGATACAGTGATGCCAGTGATGACAGCTTTTCAGAGCCAAGGATAGCTGAGTTGGAAATAAGCTGAAACGAATACATGACTGGGAATAATGGGGACTGCCTGTGAGGGTAAGATGGAATCTTCGAGGATTGTTCATTTCTCTCATGGACAAGCTGTATTCATCTTGATATTGAGGAGGATATTATAGGACTTGCCTCACAGGATCTTGCTCCTTTGAGATGCTCCCGTTTGACTGGCAGTTAGCAGGACAGGCATGACAGCCCATAGTGCTGTCCAGAGTTAGTGTTTGGGGAAAATGGAATGCACCTTGGACCAGGAAAAAAATACATAAGTGCACCTATAAATGTATACGTGGGGGCTGTTGTGGTTAGAGTCATAATAGTCTAGGTCAGGGGTTGACAGACTTTTTCTGTAAGGTCAGAGAGTAAATATCTTAGGCTTATGAGCCATGCAGTTCCTGTGGCAACTACTCAATTCTGCTGTTGTAGCAGGAAAGCAACCATAGACAGTATGTAAGTGAACAGGCATGGCTGTGTTCCAATCAAACTTTATTTACAAAAACAGTTCGCTGATCACTGGTCTAGGCCACTCATAGAAGAGCAGATTTCCTTGGATTTGTATAAAATGAAATGAAATAAAATAAAATAAAATAGTATTTTATTTCTTTGTAGGGAGATGCAAGAGACAGGCTTAGTATCCAAGGGCAGCTTATTTTTCTATTGCTCTATTATGCACTATTAGAATACCAGCCTGGATAGCTTCAGTAAATTTATGCTCAGTGGCAGATAGTGCCTAGATTGCCCTAGGCATTATGGCAGGCCTTCACTTGTATAAGTTGTTCTTTAGCAGAGACAGCAGCTTTTGGAAGACTTGTAAAGCGTTCATTGCTTTCCTGTGAGATCTCTTCATGTTCATCAGGGAAGATGCAAAGCTGTGTCTATTTAGTTTTTCCTCAAACATGGAGATCTTTTGGAGCAAGTCGAAATGGTCCAGAGGTTAGCTGGAGATATTGAAATACTTGTATTATTCCGTTCCTGGTGTTGCTAATATTTATATTCTTTTCTTTTAAGCATCTGAAATAATTGAAGGCAAGATGAAGGAACTATCTGAAGAAATCACTACACTCTTACAGAATCCCTCTGTTCTCCGGCAAACATGGGATGTAAAGCCTCACAGGGAATCTGATAATACATACTTCTGTGAACCAGAACCAGAGGGGTAGTTTTCTTTTCCCTCCAGAGGCAGCCTTTGGTACTTAAATATCTGTAGCTGATTAAATTTTTCCCAACAACCTCGCTGGGGAGAAAGTGTGTTCATATTTTGTTCAGTGGATCAGGATGTTAGGATGACGAGCAAGAGTCCAGGTCACCGTGCCTTTGCTGTGATGTATGGAAAGGATGGCAGGGAACATGCCGTAAGTAATTTTGAGTAAGAAAATGAGTCACTGTGTTACCTGGAACTGAGCCACAGATTTGTGTGTGGTCCAAGATCATTTCGGTTTCTTACCCTGTTTATTTCCTGGTAAAAGTAAAATTGAATAGGTCCAAGACTTGGGGGTATAATGCTTTGCCTCAGACACAAAATTTAAGGGGGTTCCAAAAAACTCAGGAATCAAGATCAGTAATACAGTTTGAGTATCCCTTATGTGAAATGCTTGGGGCTGGAAGTGTTTTGAATTTCAGATTTTGGAATATTTGCATATACATGAGATATCTTGGGAATGAGACTCAAGACTAAACATGAAATTCATTTATGCTTCATATACACCTTATACACACAGCCTAAAGGCAATTTTATACAATATTTTAAGTAATTGTGTGCATGAAACAGAGTTTCAACTGCATTTTGACTATGATTTCTGGAATGAGATCAGGTATGGAATTTTCCATTTCTAGCATCATGTTGGCATTCAAAAATTTTGGAATTTTGGAGCATTTTGGATTTTGGATTTTCAGATTAGGGATGCTCAACCTGTATATATACATTTTAATCGACATGAAATTCACATAACATAGAATTAACCATTTTGAAGTGAACAATTTGGTTGCATTCACTGATGCTGAGCAACCACCACCTTTAGCTATTTCCAAAACATTTTCATCACTCCAAAATAAATGCTTGTACACACTAGCAGTCACTCCCTATTTTCCCCTCCACCTGTCCACTGGCAACCACTGATCTCCTTTTTATTTCTGTGGCTTTTTCTATTCTGGATATTTCATGTAAGTGGAATTATACAATATATGTGGTCTTTTGTGTCTAGCTTCTTCTGAGACAGTAGGAAGGGGGCTTGGCTTTGGCTCATCTCCACTAGAGCATTTTTTCATGCATTCCCACTGATCATAAAACCCATACTACTACCTCATTGACACCATACCTGCTAACCTCGAGGCTTTAGCCATACAAAGAAAATGGCCTTTCTATATTGTTCTTCTGTGCTCTCATAATGCTTAACCATGTCTTTTACTTAAACAATTCCAGGAACTGGCCTTAGGAGATCCAAAATAGGGAGCCAAGATTGCAGAGTGTCCCATCTTGGGAGGGAATGCTGAATAATTAATTGATTTACAGCCTTGTTGCTGCTGGCCAGACCACCCGGTGACCCTTTACTTGAGATAATCATCACAACCGGATGATGCTAACCTATATCCTCTACCCTTCGCGTGCTTTGTCTGGGAAAAGTCTTTTGGCCCCATGTCAATTTCTATTGCATTGAAAGACCAAGAGCCCCTGGTCAGTCAGGCTTCCATTTAGCATGATGTTTGCAAGGTTTACCCATGTTGTAGCATGTGTCAGAACTTCATTCCTTTCTATGGCTGAATAAAATTCCATTGTATGAATATACCACAATTTGTTTCCACCTTTTGGTTATTGTGAATAGTAATACTCGAACAATCACATGCAAATGTTTGTTGGAGTGCCTGTTTTTAATTCTTTTGGGGTGTATGCCTAGGAGTGGAATTGCTGTGTCATATGTAATTCTAACTTCTGAAGAAGGATCAGTAATATTTTAATGCAATATTATTTAAAAAAATCAAAATTAGGCCAGGTGTGGTGGCTCATGCCTGTAATCCCAGCACTTTGGGAGGCCAAGACGGGTAGATCATGAGGTCAGGAGTTCGAGACCAGCCTGGTCAACATGGTGAAACCCCGTCTCTACTAAAAATACAAAAATTAGGCGGGCATGGTGGCCCATGCCTGTAATCCCAGCGACTCGGGAGGCTAAAACAGGAGAATTGCTTGAGCCCGGGAGGCGGAGGTTGCAGTGAGCTGAGATCCCACCATTGCACTCCAGCCTGAGTGACAAGAGCAAGACTCCGTCTCAAAAAAAAAAAAATCAAAATGAAAAAATTCACATTTGAACACAATATCAAATTTTCAAATAAAGACAGGATCCAGCCCTGCACCTCCTTCACCTCCCCCAGTCCTCACCCCATTCCCTGACATTCTTATCTAGTATACTTTCTAATTTTTTCTGTTGGATGTGCTTGAGATGACTTAATTGTAGCTTACAGTTAAGCTTTCTAATACTAATTTAAATATTTTAATTGTTCAGTTAATTTATTTGTGGTGGTTTTGCCCACCCCCTCCCCTACTTTTTTTTAATGCCATAAGGTATTACGGCCTTATTTTGTAAGATGCCACAGAAAATTCATCTACCAAGCCCATACAAAAATGTAATGAGTAATTCTGGTAAACAAAAAAATTAAAGAGCTTTAGGGCCCTGCTTGCTAAAATTACAGCTTGAAGATCACAAGAGGCTCCAAATGAAAAGCCCACATGCACGGTAGTTTAAAAGCTGGAATAGGCCTCATAGAGAGGGGTTTGGAAGCTCAGAGGCAACACTTTTAACATCACAAAGGGGTAGTCAGTCTGGCTTAAATGGAAGTTTTCAATTTTAATGATTGTGATTTCTAAAGTCACTTGTAACAGAGTGCTTTCCTGTGGGCTAATGATGCATGTAAACAGGACCAGAAAGACAAGGACGAGCACTTAAGAAACAATAAACCATCCTGTCTCCTTGAACTTGGAATGTAGGGAGGCACAGAAGGACAGTAGCATGGCTGTTTAGAATACAGGTACTGGAACAAGAGTGAGACATGAGCACATAGAAAGTTACTATAAATCATTACTCAACAAATGTTTCTTGAGCCAGGCATGGTAATAGGGGTCCCAATCCAGACCCCAAGAGAGGGTTCTTGGATCTCACGCAAGAAAGAATGTGGGGCAAATCCACAGAATAAAGTTTATTAGAGAAGTAAAAGAGACAAAAGAATGGCTACTCCATAGACACAGCAGCGGCACGAGCTGCTGACCGGGTATACTTGTGGTTATTTCTTGATCATATGCTAAATAAAGGGTAGATCATTCATGAGTTTTCTGGAAAAGGGGTGGGGAATTCCTGGAACTGAGGGTTCCTCCCCGTTTTAGACTACATGGGGTAACTTCTGAACACTGCCATGGCATTTGTAAGCTGTCATGGTGCTAGTGGAAATTTCTTTAAGCATACTAATGCATTATAATTTGAGTATAATGAGCAGTGAGGATGACTAGAGGTCACTTTTGTTACTATCTTGGTTTTGGCTGGCTTCTATACCGCATCTTGTTTTATGGTCAGAGTTTTTATGACCTGTATCTTGTGATACCAGTCCTGCCAACCTCCTATCTCATCCTGTGACTAAGAATGCCTAACCTCCTGGGAATGCAGCCCAGTAGGTCTCAGCTTCATTTTACCCAGCCCCTATTCAAGATGGAGTCACTCTGGTTCAAGTGCCTCTCACAGTGTCAGGTGCCGGGGGTGCAGTGGGGAGTAACCTCAGACAGAATAGAAAAGGAACTCAGTTCCTTTTTCACATATTTTTTTTTCTTCTTTTCTTGCCTCACTGATCACAAGACCCACACCACTGCCTGGCTGACAATCGGTTTTAGATAAGGCTTTAGGCTTACAAAGAAAATAGCCATTCTTCTGTGCTCTCATAATGTTTAACCATGCCTTTTACTTAAAAGAATTCCAGGAACTGGCCTTAGGAAATCTAAACATCAAACTGAGGTTGCAGAGTGTCCCATCATGGGAAGGGAAGGAACCCTGAACAATTCACTTGCAGCCTCGTTACTGCTGGCCAGACCCCCAGGTGGCCCATTACTCAAGATAACCATCACAACTAGATATGCTAACCAGCGTCCCCTACCCATTAGGTGCTTTGCACAGGCCAGCCTGCATACCCTACCCATGATGCCAATTCCTGTGTTTGCCTAATAAAAAAATCCCTACCACCTTTTCAGGGAGTCAGCTTGAGGGTCCTTGTACGTCTGGTGTCTCCCATGCACTCGAGCACAAGCCCCAAGATAAAAGCCTTGTCTGAGAAATCTGCTTGTCCCCATGTTAATTTTTATTACATGATGGGCCCAAGAGCCTGTTGTCTGTAATAAACCTGCCTTCAGACCTGACCACCTCTTGGGGGAAGGCAGGCTTTAAACAAATTTCCCTATAGAGGGAAATAAGTACTTAATTATATTAATAATTGTGATATATTTAGAGGCTATGACACGATCAAAGAACAAGGATAAGGGGGCTTGAGAGAGAGTGTAAAATGGGGTCCCATCAGAAACTAGAGAGCCAAGGACAGCCTCCTGAGCAAAGCAGGTCAATATTTTACCTGGTTTTGTGTGTGGTCACACAGTGCAAAGACAATGGGCCGAGAGCTCTGAGACCCAGTGGGGATGTGCTTTTCCTGACTGACAGGACAGTTGGGTGAATAGTGGCACTGTTTCAATGCTATCTTCATCTGCTTGATGTCAGCCTACAAATGTCAATCAAGTGAAAGTGTAGGCTAAGTGACAATTAAGAATGGAGTTAGGGTTGGGCATGGTAGCTCATGCCTATAATCCCAACATTTTGGGAGGCTCAGGCAGGAGGATCACTAGCTTGGCAATATAAAAAAAAAAAATTAGCTGGGCATGGTAGTGCATGCCTATACTCCCAGCTACTCGAGAGGCTAAGGTGAGAGGATCACTTGAGCCTGGGAGGTCAAGGCTGAGGTGAGCTGTGATGGCGCCACTGCACTCCAGCCTGGGAGACAGAGTGAGACCGTCTCAAAAAAAAAAAAAAAAAAAAAAAAGAGCTAGATGGCTTATGGAGAAAACAAACAAGCAAATAAGAATGGGTCCCTTCCAATCTAATTGTCACTTTTGTTGATGTGTTTCCTTCTTGCACTTTCTATTTTGTTAAAATAAGTACTAACATACACATCTGTACTCTGTTAAAGTCAGTGCCAGACATTGGCCCTCACCACCA